CCCCCCTTCAAAAAAAGCCACCATAATTAGGCAAAAGTGGGTAGTAACTACAGTCAACTCTTACCTATGGGAATTTTATCAAACTCACAGATTATTGTGCCATGCATTTGGTGTTACTGGAAATGGTTCTTGGTTCTGACAGATTTCTTAGCTTAAACACAATACAGCATGAATATGGCTGTATGATTCCTAGTACTAGCTGCATCAAGAATGCCAAGACACCCAAGGCTTAGTGTGGCTTTTAGCAGAATGAATTAGATTGCTGGTTTATTGTTAATTATGCAGCACCTCCCAGGCACTCCTTGATTTCTGGGAATCAATCCATTTCTTTTCTACCAGGCGGGAGTTTGACCAAGATGACATTGTTTTGAATTACCGAGACCTTGATGGTGATCTGATCCGACTGCTCTCCGATCAAGATGTTGAACTCATGGTGTCTCAGAGCAGGAGTAGGCCCTCTGAGAAGCATTTCTTCCCTTGGAAGCTGCACATCACTCACAAAGATGACTTGGGTGTCTACAACACTAGTCCAGGAATAGGTGCTACTCAAACAGTAAGGGCAACATAAGTGCTGTGCAGAGATGTTCCAGTAGGTACCTATACAGTCCTTCCGTAATCCCTCTCTGCAGACAGTTTCCTTTAACAAACCTTCAAAGTAGGCTTGAAAAGAGTAATTTTTATAATATGTTACCTTTCAATGTAACATCTGTACTTAGTTAGCTTTTTCAGCTTTTTAGCACTCCTCTGCAATAGAGACATCTACACAGAGACGACAGAAAGTAAGGAATAGAGAAATAAAATCATTGTCCATATTCACAAAGCGAGTCAGTGTTAGCCTGCAATAGAGGTTTAGTGTCCTGAGCCACAAAACCTGCTCTAATCTGTGTTCTCACTCCCAGAGCCAGTTATTTGTCCAGAATGTCTTCATAAGCTTTTTTTCTAGACTGCTATAATTTTCTCTTCACTTGCTGATACGAAGGTTTGTGTGCCAGTGCTTATGGATGCCTAATTATTTCTATCACGTGGGAATCTGACTGGGCATTTAGAGCTTGTTCTGGGAGCATAACTTTTTCGTATTTCAGTAAAGAAATTGCATCCCATCTTTGCTTTCTTCTTTCCACTGACCAATATTTTGAATTCTGTGAATCAAATCTAGTACACTTGTGGTGTTCCTCATAGACCTTTTTATAATTGTACAGACTACTTATTTCTGCATTCTGGGAAAATTTGTGTGATGCCTATTCAAATAGCAATTTCTTCTCTGTCTTTTGCTTTCTGACACCTCATTGCAAAGTAGAACTAACAAGAAATTACTCTATCAGATTATTCAACATATAAAGTTACATATGAGTATATTTTATCAGTTTCTATTCAAAAGGATTTCTTTGGGGGGATTCTGCACCTTTTTTTTTTTTTTGCTTGATAGTGAGATAATTTTGAAGAAGAGTTTGAATGTTACCTATTCAGCTTTCTTTAAGGAGTAGTTCATTATTGAACAAAAATGTATCTTGCAACAATTTCTTTAATGTTCATGCCATTAAAATATTTTCTTCTTGAACAAATTTACTGCTGCTAGTAAGAATTACAAGTTATGTATGTTTTACATAAATTGATACCTTAGATACCATATTTTAAAAACACTATGCAGTCATGGTATTAAAATATACCACAAGTATAAATATAATCAGTAAAAAGTAAGCAGTTAAAACAGTTTTCAAACACCATGCTTTGGATTCGACTGTTAGTTTCTGTGGCATTAAGCTACAATTCCTCATTTAAAAAAATCTTTGTCCTTGATCTGCTGCTAAAATTTGTACAGGCAAACGTGAAGATTAACAAGTATCTGAAGGTACTAAGAACCAGTTAACTAGCGATGCATGAATAACTAACCTGCCCCTCCCAAAACCGGCAAATTAATGTTTGCTCTTTTTCTTAGATGTTACCTGTAATGTTATCAGGTAACAAGATCTTCAACAACAACAAAAGTGTTTAAACTTTTGTTTAACAAGTTTTGTTTTAACAAGTTTTAAACTTTTTTTTTTCTTCCTGATGTATATATATAAACTTACGTATATACATAAGCTTTAATATTCTATTATCCATAGCCTGCATTTATGCATATGAGTGTATTGGAAATAAAGGAAAGACTTCATATTTAAAGATAAACATATTGTTTGCTAGATTGGGATCCATAAATCATTTCTTATTTGACACCTTATTAGTGCATAGTTCTCGCAGTATACCAATCCTGTACAGATTTGTATAAGAAAAGACACTCTCCAAAGAGTTGTAAGATGTGCTACAGGTCATATCTGCCTTCCAGGTACAAAGCTTCCACCTGAAGCATCCACGCTTATTAAATTTCAGAGCTAGATAACATATATTTGGAAGAGACACAGATTGTATCTTCCTTTTTTCCAATGATGGAAGGTTTTAGTTGACATTATTTTACTAAAATGTTACAAAACGTACCTTCCCAGTTCAAAGGCATTGTAGCAATGTGGTTTAGGAAGAAGATGAAGCAATGTACAATGATAATGTTAATAACCTTACACCTTGTGGTACATAAGGGAATGTATTGTAAGTTTGAAAGCTAATTGGCATGCGTGGCCTGCAAAGATTCTGGTGTGCAGGATTACTTGTTACCTGATCCTGGAGTTCCACAGAGCAAATAACATCTGAATATTTTCACTGACAGCTAGATCCTGGGATGTACCCAGCAACTCAGCAAGTCTGTCTGAAGCTGGAGGAGCTGTCTGAGTGAGGAAGGAATGGCAGGGAAGATGTCTGCTGGGAAACAAGAAACCTTTTTCTAAGGGTGGGGGAAGAACATACGTAAATTTACTGGCCTCTGAAAATCACAGCAGGATAATTCCTTTCTGCTTTTATACTGTAATGAAAAATAAATTCTGCCCATCCAGCAAAGTTGCATGTTCCCCGCCTTGTCTGCAGGTTTTATATGCACACCTCCTGATAGTCCCAATGACACACAATTGCATCAGATACTGTCATATTCTCCGTCTTGTTTCCCTTATTCACAGTATACATTTTTTTCCTTGTATTTTGATGTAGTTCTTATGAGAGCCTAACTGTGATAACTATGGTTTTGGTCAGTACTACAGGGATTTAGAGAAGGTGTAGTAGCAGTGCAGGGACAGACAGACTCTGGCAGTTGTATTCTGTATCTGGGAACTCACCTGCACCACCCCACCCCTGGTAGTTTACCCCGAGAGCACAAATCTGAGTTTGTCTTTCCCTTATGGCTACCTAACCTTCCTATAGATCTTATTATTGAAGCCTACTGGGCTAAACTTTAAAGCTGGATTTGAAACAGTGTGTCTGCCTTGGATGCAAGATAAGCTCAGATGAACTCTTCTCACAAGTTTTGTTTTTTTCTCTATGTGCTATAATACTTTCAATTTATTATTAATTGTTGAAATTGGTAAAAATTACTTTTTAAAATATTACTCAAATTAAAAGGTTACAGAGATAAAGGTAGTTCCCCTCCCCCCTCCTAAATATGTGTACAAATAAAGTACAGAATGATCCCTGCCTTGAAGATTGTCTAGCCTAGAGTAAAGCAAGAAACAGTGCTGGAGTAAAAACCTAAGAATTCTTTTTTAGCCTTTCTCACTTCTGCTGCAGTCAATACTCTTTTTTTTTTTTTTTTTTCTGAAAATACATTAGTCCCATGATCTGGTAATTGTTAACATGCAGATTGGCAATGACAAACTTCCTTCCCCTCCCTTCCCAGTTAAACAGTCCCATCTAAGTGCGTGCTTTGGGGGCTAAAATAGGAAGTACAGACTTCTTATTTCACAGGCACTTACACAGACTTTCCTGGAAAGGGCGTGGTCTACTTCTTTCAAAGTGGCATTTGAGGCACATAGAAGATACAGCAGTTATTTTGAAGACTTACTTGCCAAGAAAATCCTGTGGTTGGTTTATACCTCCTGCCTCCAGTTCTAGGGAAGTGTGGTTTTGCTGGTTTCTGCATCAGAGGATTCTGATGCTGTGGGGGAAGGCTGGACAGGGAGAGTCACCCATCAGTTTGAATTACCTGCCTCACAGACAGCTCTGGATCCAGGTAAGGGAAATGCTTCCTCTCTGGGGAAAACAAAATGGCAGAGAATCTGCTCTCATACAAAGGCTTTTGAGTCATTAAGGGATTCCTTAGCTGTAATGATAATTCAAGGGCTCAGCCATCTGTTTCTGGTGTAAGGAAGTGACATTCAGGAATCTGAAAGTCAATAGGAATTTAAAAGGAGTTTTTCCATGCTCCCCTAATGTAGAAAAGAGTCTCAGCTTTGTAACATATTTGAGTAGGTGAGTTTATTATACTTTTGAGAGAGCAATGAGAGATGGCCAACAGGACTTGAATTCCAGTATTGAACAACATGGTCCATGGTCTTCGAACCACTCAATTTACTCTCGATCTCAATAATCACTCTCCCCCCCAAAAGGATAAATAGTTTCTTTGGTATTATTTCTACAATTTGCAACTTCTTTGGGGAGCAGCTGGAAAAGTAGCATGTTGAAGAGAAATCGGAAAGTGAATGAATAGGGTGGTTGGGGATCATATTTTAAAGGAAAGGTAAAAACCAGTTCATTAGGAAGGCTTTGAGCATGAAGAGCATAAGGATGAATAAACTTGAAGGCTGAGTTCTCTTCACAGATTAGGATTGTTTCTTGCTGCTACTCAGCTGAAAGAATTCCTGCACTTCCTTGGAAACGCGCATTTACTTCTTCATTCTTTGCTCATATTGCAAGCTCACACAATAAGAACACATAGAATTTGTCCTACAATAAATACTTGGTAGAAGTTCTTTCTGAATGTCACTCCAACATGAAGCCTAAAGAAGTTCCCTAATTCAGTTTTACTTCCCTTTATGTGAAATGAAAACAAGAAGCTCCACAAAAAGCAAAGCAAGAGAGTAGCCAGTGGGAAATGAAAACAAGTATCTTCTGAATTAAGATAAAACTTGTGCACAAAGGACCGTATGATCATGAAAGAAGTTTTCATCCTTCTGCATATGGGTTTGGTCTTCAGTGTCCATGCCATTCGAGGTGAGTTTTAAATTTATATTCACTTTTAGCCTTCCATTATTGACTTTCTTTTCGTATCTGTCTCCTTCTTTCAGCTAATGCTTTTCCTCACTTTCTGCTTGCTCTTTTGCTTCCTTCTGCCACCATCTTCTGTGCTGTAGGAGAACAGGCATCTTGATGAAAACCAGTATGTAGCACATACGTGTGCAGACAAATGAGTTGTAGGTTAGTGGCATGGGCAGGTGAAATACTGGACAAATGGATGAGATGAGCAAGCTGACTGGTTAATGAGTGAATAGGAAGGAAGAATAGAGCCTGATAGTTAATGAAAAAATAGGAAAATGAAAGACTGCATGATTCCGATGGTAGTGTACAGGAGTAGATACAAGCAGACAGACAAAAGATGGGTGTGTGTGAGGGCTACCAACAACAACATCCAGATGACCTCATTTTCTTCTTGTGGAATTGCTGACAGATAAAGAGACCATCTGCCATATCCATTGCTTGTGTTTCTGAGTTTAATGTCTTTCCTTTTCTGATGAAATGAGAGCTACTTTTTTTTTCTTCTCTTCCCTTCCCTTCCCTTCCCTTCCCTTCCCTTCCCTTCCCTTCCCTTCCCTTCCCTTCCCTTCCCTTCCCTTCCCTAGTATGGAAGCTGGAAATGGGAAGTATCTCCTTGGATCACCCAGTGCACTATGTCTACATCAAGACTAAGCCTGTACCCACACTAAACATGTCAGAATAAAAGTGTTGTCAGAAGGTGTGCCTCATGGACATCTGCCTTTTCCAAGACAGATGCCAACGCCTGATGTCCGCAGTAGCTGCGGGATTTATGCTGCCCGGCCCAGAATCAATTGCAGGACATTTCCCTTTGAGATGTCTGAGGGAAAATGTATTACAGTGTAGGTCAGACTGGTCTCTTGGCATTCCGTGTCTTAGCCTTACATTCAGACCATCCCTTTCTATGTAGGATGCTCCGTTTTCTGGTTATGCAAGGAATGCCACAGAACTTACTTTGCAGTGGTTTTCAGTAGAAGATCAAAGTAAGGTCCCTCTTATGCCTGCTAACTAAGACACCATCATACTTTTCTGATGTTTTTTTGACTGTAAAAAGCCGCTCAACCAAACTGGTAGTTGTTCTCATCAAGAAAAATTGAGAGAGCTCATTCATGTTTGCACACTGACATCTCTGTCATCTGAAGGTCATATCCCAATAATGCAGCATAGATATTACCTTTAGAGAAAATAAAGAAGAAGAAGAAAGCAACTTGCTTCATAGTGAATGTACCAGGGGTGGCCTGGATTTTCCCACTTCACAGTTGTGAGGTTAAAAAAAAAGTTATCCCTGACGGGAGGTCTGGCCATTTCTGTGCCATAAATCTAGTTCCAAAAAATTAGTTTGAGCATTATTCTGAGTCATAAGAAGATTCTTCCCAGAGCGTCTCACTTTTAAATACACCTTTCTAGTGTCATAACCTTTACTAGGAGGTTAGCGGCAAAGAAGTCCCATATGCCTGCTGACCACGGTACCTACCAATCCCTGGGAACAATCAGTGTTTGAAAAGGAATACCTTGGCTAGAATTATGTGCCTTGCAGGCACAAAGGTCTCACTTCATTGTTGTTACTTGTAGCTTGGTTTGGACACTTGCATATTGTGGAGATGTGCAGAATGGGCCACAAACCTGTGCATGTTTGCACCAAGAGTCATTCTCTGGTGTCATGAGGAGAGTACTGTCATCAGTGCCTTCCCCGTTCTGCTGGCAGAATCACTGTACCTTCTGCTATCTCTCACTATTTACATTTGTAATCACCGCATCTTTTTTTACCTGAATTATTTTCTCAGAGAGTATCCCCATGAAGAGCTTGAGCTGCTACAACAACTACAACTCACAGCTGACCTGCACATGGATGGAGCATTCAGAGGCTCATGCCCTCGTTGGTATGATTCTTTACCAAAGGGATAATATTATAATGTAAGTACCTGAAATGTGCTGTGCTGGATAAGAGCCCAAAGGGAAAAAGTCCACAGCTTGGAATCCTGGGGACCAGCAGTCAGGTTTTCAGAAAGCATCATCACCTCTTTCAGTCACTGGGTTAAAGGAAAACCTGTACATGCTTCTGAGGCCTCTTCTAGGAAGGGAGGAATGAATAGTGGTGTTATTTTTATCACCTTTACAATTCTTTTCCCATAATTTTACTGTGGGATCATAGATGTGAAATAAATTGGGGCATATAGGTTGCTATTAATGGAGTGGAGAAGATGGTGTCAGAACAAGTGTAAGCCTGAGTGTTGTTTATAAATCTAAAAGGGAGGAGACATTCCCCCTCTTATTTTGCCCATTTGGGAGCATCACTGAGAGCATGGTTTTGATCACTTCTGAGAAACATGTCTAGATTGTGTGTTTGTGAGATAGAGAACACTGGTGAGTTCATCTGTGCTATCACTTTTCCTCCCAGATATACTGGTCTGTTCGTGACAGTATCTCTCCGTTACATCTTTTGAAAAGGGAACTGAGTCACCAGACTGGATCAATTGTGAGGATAAGAAAGGACAGAGAGGCAGGAATAGTCAAGGGAAAGGGGAAGACAGAGATGGAAAGCTGAGAAGAAAATGAATTAGAGTCTGTGAACACAGGAAAGAAAGGAAAGAGAAAGAACTGTTGATTTTAGTATAAAGAAGAAAGAATTAACAGACCTAAAAGCAGCTAAAATCACTGGAAGGTCTTTGGAATAGGACCTTGAAGCTAATGCTTCTGGGAAAAGATTATATAAAATTACTTGGACCTTTGGAGGATTCTCTGGAACATTGTTACGTGATGGAGTGTGTGGATCACACAGGAAACATGACTGAAGTGATCTGATCAGACAAGAGGTACTTAGTGTGGACAGTCATGCAGCTGAAACCAAAACAGTCAATAATTTAACCAGGTCAGCTCATAGGTGAAGAATAGTTGACTAAATCCCAAACTGTAAAGCAATGCTCGTGAGTAGATAGAAATATCTTCAGGACTTCTCAACCCTTGGGCTGACTCTTGTTTAAGGGTATGCACATGTATGGTCAGTATCACTCATACTTCAGGAATATCCCCATTTTCCTTGCTCATACCAAACTTTTAAAAATAGCAATAGTGCTGAATAATGCTTGCTGACACATAGTTGGCTAGGAGACTCCATCCCGTCCTGGAAGACAGCATTTGGCCTTAGATATTCACAACTTAGTATTTCTCATTTGAACTGGAACAATATAATATACTAGGCATGAAGCCAATAGCACAAACAAAATTCCAGAGGGTACAAAAAGAAGCAACACATCTCTCCGGCAGCTCAGGCTACTGCAAGCACACAAAGCTTATAATCTCCTGTCTAGTTTAAAATATTGTTTCTAATTTTCATGATGCTCCTTGGCCTGGAGAAAGGCTATATAAAAGGATGATTAACATTCTGGATGAAATCTTTAATGAATACGTAAGGTCCCTTGGCAGAACAGAACTACTAAGGATACAGAAGTACATTTTGGTTGGAGAATTTTTGTTACGTGTCTTTGTGGGACTGCAAAATTAATGTCTTCAAGAAGCTAAGGATCACCAGAAACTTTACTGCCTTTCATTCTGAGTAAAAGGTGCATTTCCATGACATTATATTTCATCATACTGTGTTTCTCACATAAAAAATATGAGATTAGGTAGAATTAAGCTAAAAACTAACAAAAATAGACTGGTACCAAAATATAACATCCTGCTGCACAGATTTGAAATGGGAAGGCATTTGACAAAAGCCTGGTTTTAAAGATGCTTGTCATATTAACTGATGCAAAACAGGACTAATTATATAGTAAGGAGAGGATATAAGTGCCCGAGTAAATTGTAACAACAGAATGGGATGGAAATGGTTTCAGGCATTTAATTTTGCATCAACTATAGGACTCCAAATCAGATCTTTATGGGTCACTTTCTCCATACACAGGGAGAACAAGGAGATGCTTTGCAAACGCCAGACAAAAAATTACTTACATGAGGCTGCAGACTCCCATGTGCACTGGGTTTGTCACCTCACCACAGAAAATTTTGGAATAGGGGTAAATGATATTTACAGCTTCAAACCTAACAAGATGCTTCAAGCGGAACTAAACATTGATCTTCTCCAAAATGGTAAGGATTAAATTCCAAATTCTCATTTTCCAGTGAATGTTAGGGATCTTTGAGAATGTATTTGCTGTTCAGTCTGGAAGTGAAACCCAAATCCATTGTGAAAACTGCCAGAGAGTTCCCCATTGAGAGGATGGGGCAGGGAGGGGAGAGGGCAAGTTTCTGGCAGGAGCTGGAACTGGAAGGGGGACTCTAGCAGGAGCTACTTAGTGTGGCAGGGATAAGATACTTGGAAAATGGGGAAGCTTACCTAGGAGGTTTCTTCCCCTCTTCATGTTCCTGTCCCCACTATCTCCTCTCATGGGTTGTACCTTCACCTTCCAGTTCAGACCCTCCCGCCTCAAAACCTCACAGTCACCTTGGTGAGATCAGGAGACTTCTTGCTGACCTGGAAAGCAGCTGATGGAAGCCAAGGGCTGGGCAATGCCCTGGAGTATGAAGTCACTTACAAGCGGGAGTGGGAATCCTGGAAGGTAAGAGCAGAGGAGACGGGCTGTCCTGGTTTGGGCTGCACCCTTTTGGGCAGTGGAGACCCTGTGGTAAATGTTGTGCAAATGAGTGGCCTTTCTGTTCTCAGGGACTATGAGGAGAAGGCGACAAATGTTGTTTCGGGTGTGGTGGAAGGGGCTCTCTTCCTGTTTGCAAGTGACTTGCCCAGTGAAATACCATTTGCTCTGAACTGAATGCAAAGATCCGTTCTTCACTGAAAAAAAAGCACTGTGCTTGGGTTTTGAGTTGGAGTTGATTGTGCCCTGAATGCCTCCAAGTCCCCAATTTCCTCCCTCCTCACTCTCTCCCTCCTTTCCCCCAACAACAGAAGGCTTCCTCGCTCTTACTCTCCAACACCACAAGTTGCCATCTCCACCACAAGACCCTTGTCCCGGGGAGCAGCTACGTTGCCCGCGTGCGAGCCAGACCGGGGTGGGCCAGTGGCTTCTCTGGTCCGTACAGCGAGTGGAGCACGGAGGTGTCATGGGAGACCCCTGAAGGTAGCGTGGGACGGAGTGGGTCCGTGCAGGTGCGGAGGCACTGGCTGACAAGCCAGACCTTTCCTCTCACTTAGCTTGCTCTCATCTTCTCTGAAGGTGGCCTTCAGCCCAGGAACCTTCGCTGCCTCTTCAATGGTGCAGATCGTCTGAGGTGCAGCTGGGAAGTGAAGAAAGCCATCACCACCTCTGTCCTCTTTGGTTTGTTCTTCAGGGCCACTCCGGCATCAGCGTACGTGCTCTGCCCATGGCAGCATGCCTGCACCTCTCCCATGGAGCTTCCGCTCTGTCCCATTCCTTCTGACCTCAGCTCAACCTCTTTTTCTCCCTTCAGAGAAGAAGAGTGCTCTCCTGTGCATGAGGAGCCTTTGCTCCATGTCCCGTATGTGGTCCAGAGCTGTGAGATCCCTGTTAACAACTCCAGCAGTCAGAGCCAGTACTATGTGTCTGTCCGGGCCAAGACGGAGGAGAAACTGATTGAAGCCTACAAGAACAGTGAGTTGCTGTGTTGTGTCTTACTTCTCGTGTTTGTTTCTTGGCGAGAAGCCTGTGTGGACAAGTGGGGCTGAGGACAGTGGTGGTGAGGAAAAGTGGGTGGGAAGAGAAAGAGACCAGGACTGATGAAGAAAAGAACTGGATGCTGTGTCAGGTCAGAGGTCTAGGAGAGGTAGCATGTAGGTGTGGAGCTCCTCAGTGGCACTTTTTACTCTGAGGAAGGTGGCAGCAGTGGAAACTGTGCAGAAATCTGGGTTGTGACCCAGAGCTTCTCTGTGAGCAATTGTCACCCTGCTGACTTCTCTGTGATTGACCTTTATGATTGTCCCAGGTGACAGGGAGCTGTGGGGAGAGGTGTTTGTGGGGAGTGTGTCACTATGTGATTTCTCAGGAAGCCAGTGGAGCTCTTGCGGGTTTGTGCAGTGACCCCTGGAGCACTGGATGATGTAGGATTCCTCTGCTGAGTGAGGTCCATCAGGTGGATCATCTCTGCCTGCATGTATTTGGAGGTACTGGTACTACATTTCACAGACTAAAGGTGGGACATCTCCTGTAGTGGGTGAAAATACGAGGTAGTAGCCCCAAGAGAGCTGAAAATCTCTGGAAATGTGTTGGACCAGTAAGGATGTTTCAAATATTGCTTTATTGCCTTTCTGTACACAGGGATTACTGTCAATATTAATGGATATGGATTTTCTGTTATTTAATGTGTCTACTGGTTTATTGTATTTGACTAGAAAATGCAGATGCAGAGAATTAAGAAGTGTTAAAAAGCTGAGACTTCTTACATTGTATAAAACAACATGGTTTTTAGTCTCTGGAAACTATTCACAGAGGTGAAAGGGAGTGCTGGACCAGTATGTTGATAAGCACTCTAAGATATTCTGTGTGTTCCAGTTAAGGTGCGGCCACCTACAAATGTGTCAGTGACAGTGACAGAGAACCAAGAGTATGAACTGAAGTGGATAAAACAGACTTTGGGTTATAGCTTCATAAAACAGAGATACCAAGTTGAGTACTGGAAAAATGACCAATACGAAAAGGTAAGTCTTAGAAAGTGCAGGAGTCCGGGATTTCTCTTTGCTGGGCAAATTGGAAAGACAGTTCATCTTGTCTTCATCAATTGTGCTTCTTTCTTCTCCCTAGACTCCCCAGAAGTTAAATATCAGCAATGATGAACCTCCCTTCATCTTCACCCTGCAGATGCTGGCACCATCTACAGAATATAGGGGGAAAATGCGTGCAAGGGTGAATACGCCTCTGGATTATGAGGGGCCTTGGAGTGAATGGAGTGAGGAGTTCACCTGGAAAACTGAGAATGGTATTTTCTGTGCAGGCTACTTCTCTAAGGTTTTGTGGACTGTTAATGGCTGAAATGCCTCGATAGAAAAATACATTCTCTCAGCTGGAATTGAAATTCAGTCCAGCCTTGAGCTAGCTGGGGTCGCTTAACAAGGTAGCTGTCCTGTCTGCACCCTTGCAGTACAGCAGCAATGCTAATGAAGGAGGTGAGCAGGAATTTTTTTTTTTCTTTCCTGCTTCCCTTTGCAAGGTGAATGCAACCAACAGTAAATCAAGCAAAGATCCTGCGCAAAAGATCATCCTTGTTTCCTGACTGCACTGCTGTCACTGACTGAAGAGCCCGAGACTGCAAAAAGACAGAATATAAGACTTATCTTTTATATTTGCAGAGTGTATAAAACACACAGTAGAGTCTACTGTGTGTTAAAAAACTTCACGTTTTTGCTGTTTCTGTACTTAGAGGCAGAATGTCTGCTATCATATGGTCTTCTGTCCAAATTAATATGATCTTCCATGATTGGTCCTGAGGAGGCTTGTAGTGGTAAGACAGTAGGCAATTTTTGGTGACTGTATTCAGGAAGAAATTGGTATGTTGATAATGATCAGTTATGGCCATTAGCAGAGGAAGCTCTAAGAAAATCTCTGAAACCCTGTCTCTTCAGGACTGCACAGAGTAAGGCAGGCCTAAGATGCCTGAAGCCATGCCTGTTGTTCATGGTGGAGTAAGGAACCTAGCCATTTTTTTATTAGCATAAATTGTTTATTGTGATGTCAGTAAAAAATAAAAAAGGATCAGTAAGTAAACAATGAACTCCTTTGGTCAGTAAGCTGTTCAGGCCATGTTTGGTCTCCCCCACTTTGGAGGGTTTCCCAACAGTTTGAAGGCCTCATGATCCTGTCCTGTGACATGCCACCTACATTTCCCTGATCTGCTTACAGGAAGAGTGACCCAAGCGCAAAACCTGTTACGGGAAGCAGCCACTCTGCAGGTGGATACCGATTTCTCTTTTCTCTGTTTCAGTTCTGCCACCAGTCCTTCTCCCAGTGATGCTCCCAGCTCTCATCATCATCTTGCTAATAGTTGCTTATTGCAGCTATAAGTATTTCCTCAGGTAGGCCTGCATTGTGCCTGGGAGGTTTAGCAGCGTGTTGGCCTTGTGGGTGGCATAAAGGCTGAGGCACTTCTTGTCCCCCATGAGAGAGAGGTCCATGTGGAGATGAGCCTTGGTGTGCAACGGGCAGCCTTGTGTGTGCCTGTGCAAGGGTGTGAGTTGGGTGGTGGCATGCCAGGGCCTTGGTGGTGCCTCGTCGTGCGTGGCAGTGCGGTGTATGGGGCGCAGCCTTTTTGGGTTGCAGCCAGGCTGAGAAGCAAATCTTGACAACTCTGTGTTGTTGTTACAGGAAGAAGCAAATGTGGGAGGAAAAGATCCCGAACCCCAGCAAGAGTCTCCTGATCCAGAGCTACCAGGGGGTAAGAGGGAACTGTACCTTGAAGGGTTCATTATTTCTCTCTCTTTTTCAGGGCTTCCTGTAATCTTAAGAGCTCTTCTTGTCTCCTAGTCCACAATGAACAGATATCTGCATTAGTCTATGCTTTATTTTTAGAAGTTCTGGTCACATTCAACATAACTGTGTTCTTATATGTATACTAGTAGACTTTGTGTTGTGTTTGTCAGCATCACTGTGATTTAAAATCAAGCTAGAAATTTTTCAGTACTTTAAAATTTTATCTGACTGAAATAATCTAGTGTCATTAGGAAACTTTATCAGCTGGTGCTTTCATTCGTCACCAGATAGTAATCAACACTAATTCAGAGCTTTTTAGAATGGGGTGGTAGCCCTATTAGAGAAACTTTATTTTAAGGAACTGGATTTTCTGGAATAAATGTTACCACATGCCTATCTGTTAGCAGGGCAAGCATTCTTTATTGGAAATCGAGGAACACACTTAGACAGCATTTGGTCAAAACTGTCTGAATAGAACATCTCTTCCTTATTCCTCCCTTCCAAAAAAACCCCAGGATCTGGAAAGGGTAGCATAGGCATCTGTAGATCTTGTTTATCCTAAGTTTTGTAAACATCCCAGTAATTCTGTTTCTCTGGTCAGCTGGTACAGAAGGATGGTCATTATAGCCCTATGGGTGAAATATTGCCCAGAGTGTCCTCATATGGTGCTGGAAAGAGTAGACACTGCACAAAGCAGTAGTGTTGATGTTTACTCTGGTAGGAACCTGCAGCATGTCTATGAGCTCTTTAAGCGAGCAGCTCCTGTCCCCTATGCTATGTAAATTTAGCATAGCATAGCATAGCATAGCATAGCATAGCATAGCGTACTGTAGCATTAGAATAGAATAGAATAGAATAGAATAGAATAGAATAGAATAGAATAGAATAGAATAGAATAGAATAGAATAGAATAGAATAGAATAGAATAGAATAGAATAGAATAGTTCAGTTGGAAGGGATCTATAATGATCATCTACTCCAACTGCCTGACCACTTCAGGGCTGACCAAAAATTAGAGCATATTATTAAGGGCATTGTCCAAATGCCTCTTAAACACTGACAGGGATGGGGCATTGACCACCTCTCTGGGAAGCCTGTTTCAGTGTTTGACCACCCTCTCAGTAAAGAAATGCTTCCTAATGTCCAGCCTAAACCTCCCCTGGTGCAGCTTTGAACCATTCCTACACATCCTATCACTGGATACCAGGGAGAAGAGATTGGCACCTCCCTCTCCAATTCCCCTCCTCAGGAAGCGGTAGAGAGCAATGAGATCACCCCTCATCCTCTTTCTCCAAACTAGGTAAACACAAAATCCTTAGCCTCTCCTTACAGGACAATCCTTTCAGCCCTTTCACCAGATTTGTTGCCCTCCTCTGGGCATGTTCAAGTACCTTAAAATCCTTAAATTATGAAGCCCAGAACTGCATACAGTATTCACGGTGAGGCCACTCCATTGCTAAATACAGTGGGATAATCACCTCTTTTGACCAGCTGGTGATACTGTGTTTGGTGCACCCTGGGATGTGGTTTGCCCTCATGGCTGCCAGGGCACACTGCTGACTCCTATTGAACCTGCTGTTGACCAGCACCCTCAGACTCCTTTCTGCAGGGCTGCTCTCCAGCCGCTTCTCTCCCAAATTATACCTGTGCCCAGCGTTACTCTGTTCCAGGTGCAGAATCTGGCATTTAGACTTCTCAAATTTCATTCTGTTGGTGATTGTCCAATGTTCCAATCTATCTAGATCCCTCTGCAAGGCCTTCTGTTGCTCGAGAGACAAACCTCAGAGTTTGGTATCATCTACAAACTCGCTAATGGTGCCTTCAACTCCTGCATCAAGATCACTGATAAAAATGTTGAACTGGCCCTAGAATTGAGCTCTGAGGTACACCACTGGTGAACTGGTCACCAGCAGATGTAGCCCCATTCACTATAACCCTTTGAGATCTGCCCTTCAGCCAGTTCTTCACACAGCACACTCTGTACCTGCTCATCTCACAGCTGGACAACTTGTACAGAAGGATGCTGTGAGGGACAGTATTAAAAGCATTACTAAAATTAAAAAAACCCTTCATCCACTGCCTTCCCTTCATTCACTAGATAAGTGATCTTATCAAAGAAGAATATAAAATAGGACTTTCCCTTTGTGAACCCATGTTGACTGTGCCTGATGATTGCATTGTTCTTTAAAAGCCTTTCAATAGCACCCAGTATGATCCTCTCCAGAAATTTTTCAGGAACTGAGGTTATACTAACAGGTCTGTAGTTTCCTGGGTCTTCCCTCATGCATTTCTTGTAAATTGCAATAACATTGGCTAGCTTCCAGGCAGCAGGAACCTCCCCAGACTCTCAGGACCTTTGGTAGATGAACAAGAGGGGTTCTGCTATAGCATCCACTTGCTCCTTCAGTACTCTGGGATGAATCCCCTCAGGCCTCGTGGACTTATGAACATTCAGCTGATACAGCTGGTCCCTTACAAATTCAGCGTCCACAAAGGCAAAATCACTGTTCTTGCACTCATGGTCCTCCAACTCAGAAGACCAGGCAGCCCAAGGTCTATCAGTAGTGTTAAAAACTGAGGCAAAAACTGCCTTGAATGCCTCTGCTTTTTCTTCATCCCTATAAGTCAGGTGACCATCATCAACAAGTATTGTTCTGATGTTTTCTTTAGGCCTTCTCTTGCTATTAACGTACTTAAAAAAGCCCTTCTTGTTGTCCGATACAACACTAGCCATTGTCAATTCTAATTGAGCTTTGGCCTTTTGTGTCTTCTCCCTGCATATACGAACCACAGTTCTGTAATCTTCCTTCAAAGCCTGACCTTGCTTCCAGAGATCATACCATTTCTTTTTCCTCTTGAGCTCCAGAAGGAGTTCCCTGTTCAGCCAAGCTGGTTGTGTGCCCTGCTTGCTTGACTTACAACACAATGGAATTGCCTGCTCTGGTGCTTTTAAAAGGTGGTTCTTAGAAACTGACCATCACTTGTGGACTCCCAAGTCCTCCAAAGCAGATTCCCAGGGGACACTGCTAAGTAGCTCCCTGAATAACTTAATGTTTGCTCCCTTGAAATCTAGGGTAGCAACTCTGCTGTCCTTTTTTCTCGTTACTCTGAAAATTTTAAACATAATCATTTCATGATCACTGTGGCAAACAGAGCCACCTACTATCACATCTCCCATGAGTCATTGTCTATTTACATAGCATAGCATAGCATAGCATAGCATAGCATAGCATAGCGTACTGTAGCATAGGAATAGAATAGAATAGAATAGAATAGAATAGAATAGAATAGAATAGAATAGAATAGAATAGAATAGAATAGAATAGAATAGAATAGAATAGAATAGAATAGTTCAGTTGGAAGGGATCTATAATGATCATCTACTCCAACTGCCTGACCACTTCAGGGCTGACCAAAAATTAGAGCATATTATTAAGGGCATTGTCCAAATGCCTCTTAAACACTGACAGGGATGGGGCATTGACCACCTCTCTGGGAAGCCTGTTTCAGTGTTTGACCACCCTCTCAGTAAAGAAATGCTTCCTAATGTCCAGCCTAAACCTCCCCTGGTGCAGCTTTGAACCATTCCTACACATCCTATCACTGGATACCAGGGAGAAGAGATTGGCACCTCCCTCTCCAATTCCCCTCCTCAGGAAGCGGTAGAGAGCAATGAGATCACCCCTCATCCTCTTTCTCCAAACTAGGTAAACACAAAATCCTTAGCCTCTCCTTACAGGACAATCCTTTCAGCCCTTTCACCAGATTTGTTGCCCTCCTCTGGGCATGTTCAAGTACCTTAAAATCCTTAAATTATGAAGCCCAGAACTGCATACAGTATTCACGGTGAGGCCACACCATTGCTAAATACAGTGGGATAATCACCTCTTTTGACCAGCTGGTGATACTGTGTTTGGTGCACCCTGGGATGTGGTTTGCCCTCATGGCTGCCAGGGCACACTGCTGACTCCTATTGAACCTGCTGTTGACCAGCACCCTCAGACTCCTTTCTGCAGGGCTGCTCTCCAGCCGCTTCTCTCCCAAATTATACCTGTGCCCGGCGTTACTCTGTTCCAGGTGCAGAATCTGGCATTTAGACTTCTCAAATTTCATTCTGTTGGTGATTGTCCAATGTTCCAATCTATCTAGATCCCTCTGCAAGGCCTTCTGTTGCTCGAGAGACAAACCTCAGAGTTTGGTATCATCTACAAACTCGCTAATGGTGCCTTCAACTCCTGCATCAAGATCACTGATAAAAATGTTGAACTGGCCCTAGAATTGAGCTCTGAGGTACACCACTGGTGAACTGGTCACCAGCAGATGTAGCCCCATTCACTATAACCCTTTGAGATCTGCCCTTCAGCCAGTTCTTCACACAGCACACTCTGTACCTGCTCATCTCACAGCTGGACAACTTGTACAGAAGGATGCTGTGAGGGACAGTATTAAAAGCATTACTAAAATTAAAAAAACCCTTCATCCACTGCCTTCCCTTCATTCACTAGATAAGTGATCTTATCAAAGAAGAATATAAAATAGGACTTTCCCTTTGTGAACCCATGTTGACTGTGCCTGATGATTGCATTGTTCTTTAAAAGCCTTTCAATAGCACCCAGTATGATCCTCTCCAGAAATTTTTCAGGAACTGAGGTTATACTAACAGGTCTGTAGTTTCCTGGGTCTTCCCTCATGCATTTCTTGTAAATTGCAATAACATTGGCTAGCTTCCAGGCAGCAGGAACCTCCCCAGACTCTCAGGACCTTTGGTAGATGAACAAGAGGGGTTCTGCTATAGCATCCACTTGCTCCTTCAGTACTCTGGGATGAATCCCCTCAGGCCTCGTGGACTTATGAACATTCAGCTGATACAGCTGGTCCCTTACAAATTCAGCGTCCACAAAGGCAAAATCACTGTTCTTGCACTCATGGTCCTCCAACTCAGAAGACCAGGCAGCCCAAGGTCTATCAGTAGTGTTAAAAACTGAGGCAAAAACTGCCTTGAATGCCTCTGCTTTTTCTTCATCCCTATAAGTCAGGTGACCATCATCAACAAGTATTGTTCTGATGTTTTCTTTAGGCCTTCTCTTGCTATTAACGTACTTAAAAAAGCCCTTCTTGTTGTCCGATACAACACTAGCCATTGTCAATTCTAATTGAGCTTTGGCCTTTTGTGTCTTCTCCCTGCATATACGAACCACAGTTCTGTAATCTTCCTTCAAAGCCTGACCTTGCTTCCAGAGATCATACCATTTCTTTTTCCTCTTGAGCTCCAGAAGGAGTTCCCTGTTCAGCCAAGCTGGTTGTGTGCCCTGCTTGCTTGACTTACAACACAATGGAATTGCCTGCTCTGGTGCTTTTAAAAGGTGGTTCTTAGAAACTGACCATCACTTGTGGACTCCCAAGTCCTCCAAAGCAGATTCCCAGGGGACACTGCTAAGTAGCTCCCTGAATAACTTAATGTTTGCTCCCTTGAAATCTAGGGTAGCAACTCTGCTGTCCTTTTTTCTCGTTACTCTGAAAATTTTAAACATAATCATTTCATGATCACTGTGGCAAACAGAGCCACCTACTATCACATCTCCCATGAGTCATTGTCTATTTACAAATAGCAAGTCTAGGAGGGCATCTTTCCTAGTTGGCTCACTCAGTACTTGTAGTTAGGTCAGTGGTAAGGCAATATGGGTCTGAAGTAACTGTCTTCTGGAGAACAGAACACACCTTCGAGTCATACTAGTGAAGTTGTATCCCTATTGCCAGATGCTGTAGGCTCTCCTATTCATTTTCTTTGTTCACGAGGAATGTATGGTTCTTGATTCTACTGCCAGTGAGACACTGCTTTTTCATTTTCAGAAAGTACCTTTAGGAAACTGGTCAACAAGTAGCCTGCTGGACTTCAACAAATACAACCTATCAGAGAAGATGGAGCAGGCTAGCTTCCTTCAAGTTGTGGACAGGTGAGTGAACAGCATATTAGACCGACACTGTGGATGATAATCTCAAAGAGTTCCTTAAGTCATGTCAAGATATAATAAAATGTTCTGTCACTAAAAAGCCTATACAAGTTGCTTTTGAGGAAGAGCTAAATTGTTTTGCTGTCTGGGTTAGCCTGCTTCTCCACATAAGACTTTTTCTAACCCTATGGGTAGCTGCGTGTGTTTTCAAGTAAGCTTGTTTTGTATTTATTGTTTACCACAATAATATGTCTCATAAGCAACTTTTAATTTTCCCACATTCAGGCAGACGAAGACTTTGGCAGCGTCCCCTGAAGGGCAGGCTAAAAAGGCAGATGTTTCCCCTGTTGCACTGGACCTACAAAACTCATACCATGCTTTAAATGAGCCAGAGCATGCCCCAGTTGTCTGCTCAAGTCAGATTGCTGGTCATTTCTTTCCTATTTCAAGGAGAAACAGTGTTGGTGGAAGTATTGCTTCCCAGACAGCAATTCCTTGCTTTGCTTTCAATGGTCCATACTTGTACAGCCCAGTGATGTCCTCGCAGCCTGATATGCATCAGACCCTGGAAGCGGACCCAGTGGGAGTCCGTGAGAAATCAGTCTCCCTTCAGTATGTGACCCTCCCAAAGGAAGACTGTCCCCAGGCTCCACTAAGGCAAGGACAGCCAGGGGCAGGTCCTTCACAGACCTTTCAGCTCCCAGATCAGAAGGAAGTGATGCAGCACCTCGATGATGAGAAAGAATTCTCACTGGTCCCACCAGCCTGTGGGAAAGGCAAGAATGAGAGAACAGAAGAGCAGAAATCTCCAAAGGCTCTCAGCTGTACCAGGTCTCCTCAGCAGTGCCCCTTGGAGTACATCACCACAGAGAGCCTGTTACTGCCATCAGCCAACGACTCTAACCATCTGCCACTTGTCACTGCTGGGGAGTCACCTTGTGACTCACAGGAGCCCCAGCCACCCAGAGACCACTCTTGCCATGAGTTTTCTCCTGGGAAAACTGGTGTCACAGTCCCAGTTTCAGGTCAAGCACCAACCTCTTCTCCTGAATTGCACCTGGATACATTTGGAGACTATCTTACTGTCCCTTTAGGTCTCCATGGACATTCAGAACCCGCAAAGATTTCTTTGCCTGTCTTACAGAAGGGAAATGATCTTCTTAGAAAGCAGCCTTTGTCAGAGGGTAACTTGGTGGTGTTAAACCCTGACAGCACTGAGCCAATTTTCCTTTGCCAGGTTGGTGACTATTGCTTCCACAGCCTAAAATCCAGTGTGAAGATGGATATTAGTCAGGAAGACCACGAAGTCAAGAAACTTTCTGAAGGCAAGACAACACCTGGGAAGCCTGTATCTGATGACGAAGCCATCACTGGCAAGCAAAAGGAGGCATCAAAAATGCAGGCTATTCAGCTTTTCAAAAACCTGAAATCAGATGATTACTTTTCCTGGCAGCAATCTTTGAGGATCGCAGAAATCTGTTAAATGGGCAAATATTAATGAATACCAAAGCTAGAGGTAACTGAAAAAGGTTGAACTGCCTGAAGAAATTGAAAACTCAAACCTAGGAACAAATAAACGCCAGTTCCCTTTTCCAGCTTCCAGTCCAACATATTGAAAGACTTGCAGTAGCTCAATATCCTTCTCAATGGCCTTCACAGATTTGGCATGAAAGACAATCCAAACATTGCCCTTTGCTGTTTTTCAAACTTTTTGGCTTATCCACAAAGAACAGTTTAGACCCCTCATGGTCCTGTGACAGATCACAGTCATTTTGCAATAATACCAGATCACTTGAGGCAAAACTTGTGGCAGGAAATGCAGACTTAACAGCATGAAATGCTATCAGAAGACGACAGGCTTGTAAACCCTGGAAAGAAAACTTATATTCTTAAGAGCAATTTTATTGAACTTCTGCATGTATGTAAAATAGATCTAAGAATCACCAAGGAGCTTTCGTATCTCTACCTTTCCACTACTGGCATGAAATATGTATTGTCTAAGGTGAAAAAAACCCCATACAGTAATAGAAGTATAAATGAAAAATGAGAAAAACATGTTGAAGTCCAGGAAACCTTTGTTAATGTTAAGGTGCAGTGTATCACAGTGTATTCTGTTGGTAAGAAGGAAACATTACTGGGATACATAAACTAGGCTGTAGAGAGCTATGGGGAAGAAGACATATTAGTTAATGAAAACCCAAGGACTCGTAAGGTACAGAGAGAGGAAGGGAGTGGGGCAGGTAATAGAAAATGACAGGCAAGAAATGTGAAGGTGCACAAGCCTGTTTCTGCTGGGGTTTTTCTGTTTCTAAGGGTTAAAGTACTATCTGAATTTCTTTTAAGTTCATTGGCTGTTTATGCATGATATAATGAATCTTAACTATGTAATTTATTCTTAGTGGCTTTTTTTTTTCCCCTGAGTAATAAACTGTTTTGAGAAAGAGGAGCCGGTTTCCCCCATTTCTGCTATACAGAAAGTGATGCAAGGTAAGAGCATTTGTTCAGAGCTGCCACTCTGTGATCAGTAAAAGTCTTTGGTTTCAGACCTGAAGGTGAGCTTACATTCGAAAAAAACATGCTTCTTTTTTCAAATATAAAATCTGTACTAACAAAAAATATTATTTCTTCCTATAAAGCTTTTCTTTCATACGTTAAGAGTATTGCAGTTAAAATAACATTACTATTAGCTCATCTGATCAGGCCTCAAAAAATTCTGTGGGTTTAGCTATGTCACCTGTGAGATAGGATGTTTTCTCCTGACTTTGCTATATCTGACAGAGATAATGAGAAGGAGGTTTGTGTTTGTGCCAGCTGATTCCTCCTGCTGGGTTAATGGGACAGTGCTGATTCAGAAAATGAAGTGAAATGCATTGTTTTTTTCAGAATTTAAATCCTTATAAATATCATTTTAAATCTGAAAGGTGTGCAAATTCAATTTGGTGTTCTTGACATCAAAAGCCAGGCAGTTGCAGCCACTGATAGAGAATATTAATGAATACTTTAAAAGATTTTCAATTTAGTCCTTTCCTAATCAATGCATTTTTTTGTTAGTCTCTTCTTTGACCATTTAGAGTAGCACAAACAATTTCTTCCAGGCTGTATGATTGTCCTCTATCTAGGTGTGTACTAAAAGGAGATGTTCAAATTGATATGCAAATTTGGTATCTGTATTCACATCTTAGATATGCACCACGTCACTGGGCCTTGAATTGCTGTGGTTTTAATAACTGTTGTGGTTTAGGCCAAATTGGCTACTGGGGATGTGCGGCACCTCTGATGGGACTGACAGTCGCTCCCTGCTACCCCTCTTCAAAGAGAGAGGCAGAGGAGGGAAAAAGAGACTTATGAGTCTAGAAGGAACTAAACTACTTTAATGGAATATTAATAATAAAATAATAAGAAAATAACAAAATATATACAAAACCATATCAAGGTCCCAGGATGATGACCACAACACCGGCTGGCACTGGGGAAGTCCCAGACTGGACTCAGTGATGGACGGGAACTGGATTCTGGACTTGGATTCAGGATTGGGATCAAAGGCAGATGAACAGAGTCCTCAGACGTGGGCCATTGAAGAAAAAGGGCTGACCCTTTGATCCCTCAGCTTTTATACTGAGCATGAGGCAGATGGGATGGAATACCCTGTTGGTCAGTTTTGGGTCACCTGTCCTGTCTGCTCCTCCCCACAGGTGGGACCCCTTTACGCTTTTCTGCTTCTGACGCTCCAATGGGGCAAATAACAACGTTAGCTGGCCTTAGGTGTTATAGCAATAAGGTTAAGGAGGAGCCTCTCTGCGTACCATGCCTGGGCATCAGCTATAAACATAGGTCTTATCATTCTGAGAGCAAATAGTATCTGCACAATAAGCTGTTAATTTCAGTAGTTAGAAGAGGCCCAGCTAACAAGCAAAGTTACTGAACAAAATCGGTCCTGTTTTACCTCAAACCAGGACAATAACCAAGAAGAACAGTGAGTTGGAGAACTTTTATTCAGTGCAGTGACTTTGGGATGAAGCTCATTTGCATTGTGATCAATACTCTAAGAGCTATCTGTTCCTCCTCTCCTTCTGCACTTCACCGGGCATTTGCAGAGGCTGCTTTTGGAGACAGGATTTATCGATACAAGAACATTTGATATGATCCCACAGAGCAGATATGACCTGAAGATCACTTCAGGAACCTGGAACTTGCAGAGTAACATGCCATTGTCAGGCTAGGGAAGCTGAATAGTGGTTTTCTTTTGCGACTATAGCAATTGTTCTAGGGCAGAACGAGTTTCTGCTCTAGGGACTCGCTACTCAATATCCACCTAAGCATCATTAAATAAAACATATAATGAACATGGGAAGCAGGGGTCACAACCTATGGCTCTGCTGTGCCGTGGAATCCACTCCTTAGTGGGTTACAGAACCAAAGCTTCCATAAACTTAATCTGTTGCTGATCTTATGAATCTTCCATTCTCTTCTGCATGAGGTCCAGCTTCAGTGGGGGTGGTAAAAAGCATTTTACAATCCTGTAACCTGGTGATTCAAGACTTAGGAGCTGTTGTGAGTCCCAGGTCTTCAACTTTCTGATCATTAGCTTGAGCCACACAGCTGTGCAAAAGGAGGTTGCTGCTACCTTCCCCAGTGCTAAGTACTGATATGCAGGAGAGGAATCATCATTGTGATGATTCAGGAGCCAGCTATGACATGGTCCTCTCTGTGGGGCTTCCCACTAAGTAGTTCCAGCCCCTCAGGCTGTATATCTGAGTGATGATTCACCAATGTTTCCTATATAGTAAAAAAAGGAGAGGTAGGCATCTCAATACTGTAAATTACATTTTGCAACTCTATTTACATTGAATATGCAGTTATGAAATCATTGCAGCCCTTTCCTTACTGTATGCTCAAACATCCAAGATTCTGCCTGTGTTTTAACAGCAGGCATTTTTGGTTCTTTGCTCTGAAGTAATCAGTTTATTATTCCCTTATCATGATCTTCCTCAACCAAAACCATATTGCCTGAATTTGCATGAGATTAGGGTAGTAAGTATATTGTGACCTCAATTGTTCTAATCAAGATCCATGCTGAACTAGCCTGTTGTTCTGTTTCTGCTACCCTGGGGGTTGTCTTTTATGTAAGGGAGGAAAATGAGGCTGAATGGTTTGCTAGAAAAGGAAGCCTGCAGTGGAAAGCCCTCCAAGGCCTCAAGGAACAATAGCCGGAAAATTTCTGACAATGCTGTGTCTGTGCAGGGTAACGAAAAACAATCCCAACCCATCCTGCCAGTCCCTGTGCAGTTTCTTGTTCATGCAGTCAAACACATTCGTACACACAATCTTATTCCCATACAACTCCCATGAATGATCTCTGCCTCTTCTCCTCAGTCCCCACATGCTCCCTCTGCTCTCACTACAGAGCTGAAATTTCCCCGCGTGTCATGTTCTGTATGTGGGGAATAAATAGCACAATGACTTCATGCCTGTTTTGGACCATTTTAAGTTCTTCCAAGTGGCTGCCAGGATTCTGGGTGCTCCAACCTTGATCCTAACAACTCATATTACACAATGGATGTTTCACCATGGTGTTAGGTGGGTGGACCCAGACTCATCTGCAAACTTGCTCAACATGTGCCAGTGTTAGGTCAAAAGCTTTGTAGATTCAATGTGTCCTTTCGAGTTTGTTGGTAGTGGAGCATATGATCCTCATTGTTAAAGGCTAATTTGTTTGTCTAGAAAAGTAGATGTAAAACTATCTGAAACAGCTTTTCAGCCTGGAGAAGAGAAGGCTCCAGGGAGATCTTATTGTGGCCTTCCAGTACCTATAGGGGGCCTACAGGAGAGCTGGGGAAGAACTTCTTACTAGGGCATGTAGTGATAGGATGAGGGGGAATGGCTTTAAACTGGAAGAGGGCAGGTTTAGATTAAACAATAGGAAGAAATTTTTCACTTTGAGGGTGGTAAGGCAGTGGAACAGGTTGCCCAGAGAGGCTGTTGAGGCCCCATCCCTGGAGGTGTTCAAGGCCAGGCTGGACGTGGCCTTAGGCAACCTGGTCTAGTGGGAGGTGTCCCTGCCTATGGCAGGGGGGTTGGAACTCGATGATCTTCAAGGTCCCTTCCAACCTAAACCATTCTATGATTCTATTCTCTTTTTAAACATTTTTAACTCCTTGTTCACACCATGCACATACATTGCAAACTTTTGAGATTAATACTTTTGCATCTGCTGTGGCCTTGCAGTGTGTTTCTAACCCGTTTGTTCTTCTGCTGCATTCGGAGGTACACAGGGTGTTGACGTAAATTTTCAAGTTTTTTCATTCACTGCAGATTCATGATGGATTCATGATGCTGTTTCAGCATCAAAAGACACCCTTTTTTCCCCTTCTGCTTGCAGCAGAGGCTGTAATATAGGAACATAAGACTAACACGTTGGGTCTAAACAGTCATTCCATCTTGTCCAGTATTCTGCCTCTGCCAATATTTGCAGTGGATGCTTAA